GCAACTCCCTTCCTACCTGGTTATTTTGCTCCAGGAGCCTGATTAGAGGCCTATGCCTGCCCTTCCCTCATCCCAATTTCTTGTGTCATCTAGAGAGAGAGAACGAGAGTTTCATCTGATTGCTGGTGTGCTACTTCTTCTCTTTCATGAGCAACGGGTACTGTGCGGGTAAGTTATTGTTATCTTGTGCTCCTGGGAGACACGGACCTTTGTGAGACACTTTTCACCCTGTGTGTGCTGGGGAAGAAGAAAAGGGTCTTGCCTGAGTGACTTCTCACAGAAAGCTTCAGAGTTGCTCAGAGCTGATAGCCTAGGCCTGGCAGGCTGTTCTTTCATTGGCACTCAAGGATGTCAATCACTGTGGCTGTGCCAATCAGCTCTGAGCCAGGTATCTGTAAGTGATTAGCCTTCTTTGTTAAACAGAACACTGAAACCTCCAAGGGCTGAACAAAGAATCACTCTGGAAAGAAACAGTTGCTAGGTGGGCAAGGGCAGTGTGCCAGTGTCACTAACTCAAATCTTTTGATTTCATTCTCCTTCTTCAGGCCCTGACTCTACTTTATGCTTTATATTTAGGCCAGTCCTACATGCATTCAATTCTACATCTGTATTTCCCTCCCATGTGCATTTCCTCTGCCCACCCCTAATGCTGCATTGTCTGTTCAGCCCTCAACACCTCTCACCTGGACTTCTAACCAGTCTCCTAACTAGTTTCCCTGCCTCAAGTCTCCTACCGACCCCCACTCCAATCCAGTCTCCATCCTACAACCAAATCAATCTTCTAAAAATACAAATCTCCTGAAAATCTTTCAACCTCTTCTGTGGCTCTTAGTACCCTTGGGATAATATCCAAACTCCTTAGCATGGCACCCAGGGCCTTTTCGTGATTTGGTTCCTGCTAAATCCTCAGCCTTATTTTTGGAAGTGTTCCCCTTTCACACCTAGTCACAGTAAACTACTTTGCAGGTTTCTGAACATGCCATTCTTGGCTCTGCTTCTGGGCCTTTACACATGACATTCCCTCTGCCTGGGACATCCTTCACACACCACCTTCTCCCTTGTCTAGCCAATTCTTACTCATCCCTTAAGACTTCAACTAAGTTCCTTCAGCCCAAGCCATGTATTTTACTCATTTCTATATCTTGGATGCCTAGTACACTGCTTGGAACATAACAGATCCTCAAAAGGTGTTCGCTGAATAAATAAATGAATGGATGCCCTCCAACTCAAGTGGCTGTGTGCAAAATAATCTCTGAGGGAAGCTGACAGAATCCATCCATGCCCACCTGTATGGGAGGAAGCCCTCTCTTCCCACCCATTTATATCATTCTTGTTCCAGTGGGTTGCAATACCTCCTTTAAAATGTCTGCCTCCCGCATGGCCTCGGCATTCCCCTGTATGTGTCTCTGGCTTCAACAGTGTTTGAAGGCAACAGACCCAGGGATGCCCCTTCTTCCAGCCTCTGACCACCCTCCAACCTCTTTTCCAGTCACCACCTTCAGAACTACTTCAGCCACTCTCAGCCTCCAAGACCAGCCAACACCTTTTTTTCTTTTTTCTTACCTTAAGTCCTTATGGCCAAACAACCACAAGCTCCCAGATTCATCAGAATTATTCCACCGAGGTGGAGGCTGCTGTCAACTGCCTGGCCAACCTGCACCTGTGGGCCTCCCACACCTACCTCTCTCTGGGCTTTTATTTCCACCGTGACAATGTGGCTCTGGAGGCTGTGGGCCACTTCTGCGAGTTGACGGAGAAGAAGCGCGGGGGTGCTGAGCGTTTCTTAAAGATGCCAAATTAGCACAGTGACCACCTTCTCTCCCAGGACGTGCTGAAGCCTTGCCAAGATGAATGGGGCAAAACTCAGGATGCCTTGGAAGCCTCCATGGCCTTGGAAAGGAACCTGAACCAGGCCCTTTTGATCTGCCTGCCCTGGTTCTACCCACGCAGACTCTCATCTCTGTGTCTTCCTAGAGAGCCACTTCCTGAATGAGTAGGTGAAACTCATCAGGAAGGTGAGCGACACCTGACTCACCTCTGCAGGCTGGCTACCCCCAGGCTGGGCTGGGTGAGTATCTCTTCAAAAGGCTCACCCTCAACACACATGACTGGGAGCATTTGGAGCCCAGAGGCCTTTGAGGGGCCCCTCTGCATCCCCCTGATGTCTGGCTTTTGCCTTAGCCTCTCCCCAAAACCACTAGCCATTTTATTAACCACCTTGGAGCTCTCTCCCATGCATTGGACCAAATGGAAACAATAAAGCTTTTTGCAGCAAAAATAAATAAATAAATAAATAAATAAAAAAGGTTGCCTCCCTAATTCACCCGTGAGCATGTCAATGTCTGATCCACCTGATTTTCCTCCCTAGTCACCAGCATAGTGCTTAGAATATAATGAATGAGTAGGCGTGCCAAATGCCTGATATTCTTGCCCCCTGTCTCATATCCCTCTACTCTCTTCCCCACAAGTTCTCACCACCAATACAGCTCAACTGTCACACTCATGGCTTCACAACCATTCAAGGCTCCTTCTCATCCCTGAAAATTTTCACTTGCATTCCTCTCACCTGTATTGGCCTTCCTACCCACTCACCCAAATCCTGCTGCTTCTTTAGGAACCAACTCAAATTCTCCCTCTTCCAGAAACTTTTCCTACACCCACCCCAGCCCACCTCTGAGTAGTGCTAATGATTCTCAGCCATCCTATTTAGCCCTTGGCATCCCCTCATGTTACTCAGAGGGAAACCAAGACTCGGAGAGAGAAAAACCTCCCTCAAGGGCACATGTCACACTCAGTGGTAGAACTGTTACCTGAACCGAAGTCTCCAGTCCATGAATCCTGCCAACATATATGCCTTGTATCCTCATGTAGATGATCATTTCCTATAAGGCAGGAAGGACTGTGTCTTCCACCCCTTCATTTCTCCGGGGCTTTGCTGGAGTGTTAAAAGAGCTCTACAGCCAGACTGCCCAAGTTTCTAACTTGGTTTCATTGGTTACTAGCTGTGTGACCCTAGGCAGCTTAACCACTCTAAACTTCAGCTTCCTCGTGTGTAAATGAAGATACACTAGTGTCTACTTCATAAGATTGTTGTGAAGATTCAATGAAATAATGTGTGTAGAGTACCTAGAGCACTAACTGAACACCTAGTATACATGCAATAGAGTACTTTATTATTATTCTCAAAATTAACACATTCTTACTGGTAACGGTTGATTAAAAATTAGAATGTGGGAATCGCAGGTAGTGGAAAGGAGAAAAGGAAGTAGACAACCGGACCACTCTGTGATTTGGTGGAATCCAACCAAACAAGGTTAGTGGCGCGGCAGGACATTTGTTCTCCAGAGTTCCTAATGCCATGTGACTCTGTGAGGGCCCCAAGCACATGGTTCCATCCAGGCGGCGCAGCTTCCCCAACTCTCGCTCGGCTATTCTCAGCAGCCTATAGGGGGAGCCAGGAAGCCAGGACAGGGGAGAGGCCGCTGGAAATCTTACTAAGGGCATAAACGACACCCCATCACTACTAACCATCTTAGTCAACTGTCTTGCCCCCTCCAGGAAGCTCTCCAAGCGCTGTCTCGCACAGCTGCTAAGCCGGGAGCTGTCCTTCAGCACCAGGGGCCGCCTTGGCCTCGAGCAGGACAGTGAGGGCGACGGCAGAGTTAGGAACAGGGGACTGGTCCGATCCGATCCGCAGCCGGCTCCAGCGTCGCCTAGTCACGGGGACGGGGGAGGCGACCCGAGGAGGCATCCAGACGCTACGGAGATGCCTCCTGCTTCCAAGAATCACCCTCAGAAAGCCCCCGAGCCCTCGGGGGGCAGTGAGCGGGCGCTCCAGGGAGGGAGGCGGGCGCCTGGGCTGCCGGGGGAGGGGGAGCGCCAGGGCCTGGGATTCAGCGTGTGGCGTGCGCACGCGGGGAGCGGGCGGATGAACGGAGGCGCCGAAGTGAATGGAGTTGGGGGTGGACTGGAAACATCCCCAAACAGCACAGGCTGCGGCCGGCGAGGGCTGGGGTGGGGGGTGGGGGGGGGAGTCCTGAGGCGCAGGCGCAGTCGGGGCCCCAGTCCCGCTCCCTCCTCCTCTTCGTGCCTCTTTCTCCGCCCCGCTCCCCACCAAACACACTCGCACACGGGCTCTCAAGGTGTTCTCCGCACAGCGGAAGATGGCGACAGACTGAGGGGGCATGGCCAGCGGGAAGCACGGGGCCGTGACGCTCGGCTGCCGCCACAGCGGTGCGAACGGGAGGCGGAAGCGAGAAGCGCACTGAGCGAAGCCCGGCGCCCGCCTTCGGCGCCCGCGTCCGGCGCCTGTGGCGCCGCCGGGAGCCAGGTGGCCCGCCCGAGCCGGAACTCCGGGAGCAGCAGGCGCCGAGCCGGAGCGGAGCCGGCCCGGGACCGGCCCCGGCGAACGGCCAGAGCGCGAGCGAAGCCCGAAGGGCCAGGCAGCGGGCCGGCCGGCGGGCCTAGGAGGGCGCGAGCGAGGCAGGGAGCGGCGCGCAGCGGAGCGGGCGGCGGGCGGACGGGCGGGCGGACGGGCGGGCGCGGGGCGAGCGAGCGGAGCGGAGCGGCCGGGCCCGCACGGCGGCGCACAGGGGCGCAGAGCTGCGCCGAGCCGAGACGGCCGGCACGGAGTGCGAGCAGGGCGGCCGCCGGCGCCCAGTGGAGTGTCGCGGAGAAGAGGGCAGCTGAGGGGCCCGACACTATGAGGAGCGCGGCGCGGCCGCCGCAGCCGCCACCGCCCCAGTGCCCCGCACCGCCCCCCGCCGGGACGCCGGGCAGCGCCTAGCGGGCCGGCGGCCGCGCCCGGGCTGCCAGCGAGGGAGCGCGGGAGGGGCGCGGGGACGGCACGAGAGCGCCCCGCGACTCCGGCCTGAGCGGAGCCCCGGGCCGGCCGGCCTGCCTCACCATGCAGCCCCCGAGGTAGAGCCTGGACGGCGCCGCGGAGCGCGGAGCGGCGGGCAGCCCGCTCGCTCGCCCGAGACGGCCGTCCGGCCTCGCGCCTGCCTGCTTTCTCCAGCCCGGACCCCCCTGAAATATGTTCAGGGGCGCTTGGATGTGGCCCGGGAAAGACGCCGCCGCGCTGACTATCTGCTGCTGCTGCTGCTGCTGGGCTCCCAGGCCGAGCGACAAACCTTGCGCCGACTCCGAGCGGGCGCAGCGATGGCGACTGTCCCTGGCGTCCCTGCTCTTCTTCACCGTGCTGCTCGCTGACCATCTGTGGCTGTGCGCGGGGGCCCGGCCCCGGGCCAGGGAGCTGAGCAGCGCCATGCGGCCGCCCTGGGGGACCGACCGTGAGCGGCAGCCGGTGCCTCCTCGTGCGGTGCTGCCACTGCCGCCGCCCGGTGAGCCCAGCGCGCCCCCGGGCACTTGCGGCCCCCGATACAGCAACCTGACCAAAGCCGCCCCCGCCGCCGGTCCCGGGCCGGACTGCGGCGGCGTCCCAGAGCCCACGGGGCTGGCCGCAGCTTGCACCAAATTGCAATCTCTGCAGAGACTTTTCGAACCGACTACCCCAGCCCCGCCTCTGCGGCCCCCTGACTCCCCTTCCCGTGCCCCGGCCAAGTTCCCCGCCGCCAAAAAAAACTTGCTCAAAGGCCACTTTCGGAACTTCACTCTCTCCTTTTGCGACACCTACACGGTCTGGGACTTGCTGCTGGGCATGGACCGCCCCGACAGCCTGGACTGCAGCCTGGACACCCTGCTGGGGGACCTGCTGGCCGTGGTGGCCAGCCCGGGCTCCGGGGCCTGGGAGGTGTGTAGCAACTGTATCGAGGCGTACCAGCGGCTCGACCGACATGCTCAGGAAAAATATGACGAGTTCGACCTCGTGCTGCATAAATACTTGCAGGCAGAAGAGTACTCAATCCGGTCCTGCACGAAAGGCTGTAAGGTAGGGACTGGCGTCCGCGGCCATGCGGCGGGAGCGGTGGCGGTGGGCTGGGGAGGAATAAAGGGAGGTGCCCCCTCTGCCCACCACACCTCCTCCCATCACCCCTAACGTTCTCGGTGCTGCACTATGAGTGCTGCTTTGGAACCCGCCCGGGAGAAGGGGCCTCAGGGATTCAGGTCAGGTCACCACCTGTCCAACTTCTATTAATTCTGGGCTTGGGCACGGTCTGACTGGGGCCTCCTGGCGCGCCGCCCCGCCCGAGAAGGGAGGGGTCACCGGGCCTTCAGCTGGCAAAGGGGTGAAAAGAGGGATCTGGCTCCCCCAGCCCTCCATCTTCAGCCCGCGGTGCTCTCTTTCTTTCATGGGCTGGAATTGAAAGTCTTGGAACTGGCTGGTGCAGGGGGAAGGCAGAGGTGGAAGGAAGAACATTTGGCATCCTAGTTAGCCCTCACCCTTTGGCCCCTGCGAATGGGCTAGAGGAGGGGCACCCCTGCTGATGGGGCACACCACACTGTTGACCTTATATGACCTGAGGTGGCCTCTCAGAACCTAGGCAGGTGGAACTCAGGGGTGCCTGTCTTATCCCAACGAGAAGCTCCTTGCCAACTTCTTCCTCTTCCCTGACAAAGAAGGAGCTGGGAACAGAGCACAGCGACTTGTGGGAGGGCCACTGAAGGTTGGTGCATTACCAGAGTCCCAGTGCCTTCCCGGCGCCCTGGGGTGGCAGTGGCAGGACAACTGACTTTCTGGCTGCTGGGAACCAGAATCCAGAGGAGAGGAGAGGCCACTGCAGACTGGGCCTGCCTAGGACAGAGCTGAGTTGAGAAACTTCTTGACCCTCAGCAGGATCCTTCTGGGCAATAGGTGTATTTGGGACGTGGTGCTACTGTCCTGTTGGCTCAGCCTGGCCTGGTGGCCTGCCTTTGGGAGGAAAGAGAACAGCAAGGTCAAAGGGTCAAGTGACAAGGAGACAGAGTGGGGTGGTGGCCTCACCCATCCTCAAGGGGGGGGGGCGCGGCTGAGAGCTGGAGAGGGAGATGGTTGCCTCCTAGTCTAGCTTGTCTCCCACCAAGGCTTTGGGGAGGGGCAGAAAGTGCCCCTTTCCATTCAGTGTGATCCTGTGGGCTTCTGCAGGGTTCCATGCTCTTAGTGGGCTCCTTAAGCGGTTAGGGAGGAAAGGGGTAGCTCCTTGCTCCTGACTTCACTTTCTCCTTCTCCTTTTTCCTGTTCTCGTAATCTAGCTGTCTCCCTCCCGCCTCCCTCAGCCTCAGCTGACTCACTGCCTCACTCACACTACCGAATGAGATATTCCGTTTCTTAAAGGTGTACAGACAGATAGACACTCACACACACATACACACGTACACTCTGTCATATAACACCACCACTACTACCCTGGCAAAGTCACACAGAGATACAGAGAGGTTGTCACACAAAACAGTGCCATAGAAGCAGACACTCTGTCACACACATACATTTCCCCATGATGTTAGACACAAAGGCAAAGTCCTACCACACGAAGAAGGACACATTGTGTCATATAGAGATAGAGACACACAGCCTCAGTATCAGCCACAGACACACACACTCAATGGGAACAGACGGACGTGGTCCTCTAGCAGAAGGAATAAAAATTGTGTCTTTTGTGGCCCTCAATTCAACCCTGCGGCCCCAACTTTCCTTTTCTTCAATCACCAGGATGAATGGGAGACCACACCACAACTTTCCCATGGGTTTTCCTCATGGGGTAGTTGCCTTCAAGCTGTGTCTGATCCCACAGTAAATAATACTCATGTTGATTATTTTTACCCAGCATTTGGTATAGGAGAAAGACCACTGATCTCCAGGATTTAGGCCTTATCAGCCTCTACCACTTGTTGATAGTGTGACCTTGGGCATGTCACTTGACTTCTCTAAGCTTTCATTTGCTCAGTTGTAAAACAGGGTTAATAATCCTTGTTCTGCCCACATCCTGTCTTGTGCGTGAGCATCCAGTGGGAAGAGGTAGCTGATGGTAGTTTGAAATAATAATATAACACCTTACATTGACCTAACGGCTAGGGTTTTAACCTCTCTCCCATATATTGTGAGATCACAGCTGCCCAAGGAGACTGGTAATACCAGCACCATTATTCCCATTTTACAGATGAGGAAACTGAGGTGCAGGGAGGTCAAGCAGTTTGCCCTAAGGTCACTCAGCTAATGAGCGGGAATGCCAGGCCTCCAACCTGCAGGTTCTGGTGCTAAGTCCATGTGTTTTCCAGTGTCTCCCTTCAAGTTTCCAGTGGCCAGGGCCCTCCTTCCTCTCCTTTGTCTCCTTGTCACTGTTGCTCTCCCTCTCAAATGAACCCCAAACTTCGCCTGCTCTCCTGCTGGGCTAGGAGGAGGGTAGTGCCAGCTCTCTAGCTGTCTTCTTGTCTTTCTCACCCCTCTCCATTGCTCTCTCCCTCAACTGAGGCCGAGACCTTGAAGGGCTCTTGATTCCAGCTGTATTATGGGCACTATGGGTAAAAGAAATCCCTGCTGTCTTCTCTTCTGCAGCCCCCCTCTTCACCCCATCACCCCATTTGTATCCTCGGACTTCTCTGCGGATCCCTGCCCCTGCCCCCAGATTCCAAGCCTGCCTGTTCAGCTCCTACCCCAAATGGGATCCCTTGGAGTTGATGACCATCATCAAAGCTTCTCCTGGGTGGAGAGATCCCACAGCCCCAGGCCAGGATGCCGGGGGCTTCCTCTACTTCCGGACACCAAGCCTGGGCCTGCTTCAGGGCCAGGTGATCCCCATCCTTGGGACCCCGACCTGAGTGTCTTGGTTGGATCTTTCCTGGGAAGCCCCAGAAACCCTGTTCTCTCCCTTCGCAATGTCTGGCCCTGTTTTGGGCCACACGAATGATACCTGTCCTCAATGCTGCCTGTGACACCTCCCGATTTAGTACCAGCTGCAACATTTCCTTAATGTGCGACTGACTTCCTTTCACACAGCAGGGGGATGTTAAGTTAGGCAGGCTATGCCCATCTCCACCCTGGCTTCTCCCAACCCAGGGCCATGCTCTACCCCTCCCTAATCTCCCTGTGCACACCCCCAAAACAGTCACTTCTCCCTCCCTTTGGCCCTCTTGGCCCTGCCTAGGGTTACTGGACAGCCACCTCACTCCTCACAGTTCTCCACCCTCCCAGCCCTGCCCTGCCCCTGCCTGGTTCTGATTGCTTCTTCCCCCACTTCCACCTTTCACTCCTCTAATTTAGGGTATTCCGATTGAGGGGAGTAGTGGAGATGGGAACACATTCCTGGCCTCTTCTCTCATAGCTTTGATCCAAGAGGGTCGAGAAGCCTAAGAGAAGGATAGTTCTTGGCTCTCTTACCAGCCATTGGGCCACAGCAGTAAAGGTTAGTGCCAAGGAAGGATGTGATAGTTCTGCTCTATTTGGAACTGGCCCATGTGTGGGGTTCAGGGTCTCACACTGAGCAGGCCAGGAGGAGGCTGGAACACCAGTTTTCCTGGCCAGAGTTGAAGGAGCTGCCTCACCAGGAGAAGGGGACATGCAGAAGGCTGTAGTCTCTGTTTTCAGAACTCTGAAGCGTTGTCATGCAAAAGAAGACACATGTCTTGCTTAGCCCGAGGGGGACTTTGTACTTAGAAAGTCCTGGGTTCAAATCCAGGTCTTTCATTTATTGTTGATGTGACCTTGAGTTAGGGACTCCCCCCCCCCCAAAGCCTCACTTTTCTCATCTGTAAAATGAACCTCAACCCTCATTATTAATGAGAAGTCTACACAGTACCTAGGCCTGGCAACTCAGTTAACAGGTTTTCTCTTCCAAAGAGGGACCAGACTGCCTTAGGAGGAGGTGAGCTACTGTTCCAAGAAATGTCTGTCCTGATTTGAGCAGACCCCTGGAGGAAATGCTGTGGAGATAATTCTGATTCCAGATTATGGAGAGGGTTGGACCAGGTGACCTCGGGGGTCTGTTTCAGCCCGGAGTTAAGGCCCATGAGCAAAGCCTGCTCCCTGAACAGCAGCATGGAATGGGAAGGGCTGGGGCAGGAGGCCTAACTAACACCCATACACAGAGGGAAGGGCTGCTTCCAGAGCTAGCACCTCGCCTTCTGCCCATGCCCATTGGGGCCCTGCTCTGCCTCCACTCGCTGGCAGCTGTTTCTGCCTCTCTGCCTTCCTCTCTCCTCCCACCTGCCACGGCTTTCCTGCCAAGCAGGACTCCTGGGCGAACGCTGGTGCTGAGAACAGGGAGCTCAGGGCGCTGGGAAAAGGGCAGTAGCCCCAACTTAGCCAGTGGTCCCGGTTGTCACCCAAGCTTGCAGACGGGGAGCAGTACCCACAGTCAGCCTCCTGGACCCAGGGTTCTTGTGGGCAGAGAAGGTGCCCTGATCCCTGTTTGGGGTAGAAGCTGTCTCCTGGGAACCGTGGCAAAGCCTCCTGTAGTGGGGGCCTCCAGACCCACAGAAGCCCGCTGTCCAAAGAGGCAGGGTTTATAGCTCGGGCAAGGATACAGGGGGTTAAGCTTGGGGACTGGGAAAGTGGCCTCATGCTGCCCACATCTCTCCTGACCCCATCCTGACCCAACCCCACTATGACCCCTCATATTCCTGTTAAACTCGGGCCCACACTCAGCATCCCCACTGACATACCAGTGACCCCACAGCTTTCCCAGTCATCTGCTCAAAGATCACCCCAGACCTCTTCCAAACCACAGCCTACACCTCACTCTGTAGTCCTTACCCCTATACCTGCATTCCTCTGACCCCCATTCCTCCCAATAGTTATCTGTACCCCTTCCCACACTCCCCTTTCCCTCTCCCTGCCCTGCTCCTCTCTAACAGTTCACCCTTTTCCATTTCCCACCCCACTCCACTCCTTTCAGCTCCCACCTCTTCCTCACACCCCTCCCAGCCTTTACCTCAAGTCATTACCCCCAGCCCTCCTGGCACTGCACCTCTTGCCTTAGACACCTCGCATTTCTCACACCCCACTCACACTTTACC